CGGTATAATAGACGAGTGGCCATCAGATTGAAAGTGCTTTAAAGAAAATATTTCGTAGGCATCATTTATTACAAGCTGGCAACAAGGGGAATCCACATCACCAGCTCTTGCCTCACACAGAATGAAATGTTGCCACGCTGAATTTTGAATTTAAGTGCCAAATTTGACCAAAAAATGGCAAAGTTTTCACGCTTTTACCCAAACATCATATTTTGAAGCTATTCTGTCACTGGGAGATTCAATTTGAATATATTCATTTAAATATTTATTTATTTATAGGACTTTATCCTAACAACATTCATACTCTGGCACTGTTTGATTGAGAGGCCAGATAGTTCCATTGTATAAAATAAGAAACTAACCCTATAATGTTAGTGCCATTTCGGTGAGTCTTTTCCCAGCTCATCCATTTTTCTACCGCATGTTTTCTTTGTAACACACAATAAAGATGTAAAAAGATATCAGTGTTTCCGTTTACGTAGTAGCCAGTAGTAACCTCACCCACAATAAAAGCTTAATGTAATATACAGTAAATCGATACAATTTGGAAATAGTATACTCATTGTGTCTACACTGAGGTAGCGCAGCATTAATTCATCTTCGAGTGATTTTCTTAGCAATCTTCTTTAGGTAATAGCCTACATTTATTTTCTCCAAATAAACTTGAATAGGTATATAATAATAAGAGGAAGAAACCAGCATTTTTGTGTAAAAACGTATAAGGTTTGCCATTTTAATAATAATAATAATAATAATAATAATAATAATAATAATAATAATAATAATAATAATAATAATAGTAATAATAATAATAATAATAATAAATTATTTAAATGCTAGGCCTAACTTATCGATTGGAATCAAAGTAACGAGCAATCGGAAGATGAATCAACAGATCTTCGCGGAAATTTGGACAACAAATTGAAAGAGAAAAAGGAACTGCTGCATTGTTCATAACACTTCTTGGAAGCTTTGCAGATGCCTACAGATCTTTCTTCAAGATGTTTTATTAAACTATCTGAGGTACATAATTATATATTTATATTCCTGTTACTGTTCCGATTGGTGGGTTGTTAAGATTGATTGACCATACAGAAAGGTCCATTATAAATTAAGTAACTAGCCCTATAATGTCGGTGGCATTTCGATTAGCCTTTTCCCAGATCATCTATTTTCAACTAGCACATGTTTTCTTCGTAACATTCAATCAGGATGTAAAAAGATAAGTTTTTCCGTTTGTGGTAGCAGCCCTTCATGTTCTCACCCACATCAAAAGGCTAATGCTATATAAATCATTATAAATAGAACTAATTGTGTTTGCATTGAAGCAGCTTGGCATCAAGTAACCTTCTTATTTACTGACTTCAGGTAATCCATTTATTTTTTTTCCAAATATACATGAATCTATGAATATAGAGGAACAAAAAAATAAAAGACATGACAGCAGGTAGTTGAAAAACAAGTCGCCGGCCTTCTATTTTACTTCTCTTTTTGAAAAATGAATATATGTATTTAATTGTAATTTTTGTTTTTGCACCCACACTGAAAACATACAAAACCAAAATTAATAATACATGTTTTATTAAATAAATACGAAAAATACTAAGCTAACAACTTCTTCGTATGATACTTTCTAAAAAATGACCATATACGATTTAAAACACCTATAAAAATGGGCTGTTTCCAGGAAAATATTTGGGTTTTGGTGCTAAATTCTACCAAAAATGGCAGGTTTGTACTTAAAATGGTATTTTTAGACATTGAATTTTGCCAAAAAAAAAATCATAAAAAATATATTTTTGGCATTTTTTTGGGTCACAAATTATTACAATATGTGTATTCCTGACACAGTTCTGAATGGTCAATTGTGAAGTTTGATTGACACTCCAGAAAGATCAATTACACAATAAGGAACTAAAACTAACCTTATAATTATTAGTGACATTTTGGTGAGCTTTTTCGCAGATCATCCATTTTACACTATAGCAGTATTTTCGATTACGTTACCAGCCAATCATGATCCCACCCACACTAAAAGCATAATGTTATAAATCGATACCATTTGGAAAATAGTACAGTATAGTCCTTGTGCTTGCACTGGGTTTGCGTAGCATCAATTCATCTTCGAGTAATCTTCTTAGCGATCTTCTTCAGGTAATCAATTTTTTTTTTTCTGGAAATAAACTTGAAAGTAAATTAGGTACAATAAGAGAAACAAACATAATTAATTAATTATTTTTCCCCATACAGTTAAGGCAGAAATTATAGACGACACTATTTTAGGTCAGTTTGGTAAACTGATAGACATGAAACGAATATGCATGCCTGATCATCCCCTCGAGGAACATAGCTCAGTCATGTTTATACCTCCATGGTTTAATGGTGGCCAAAATCTCTTAAATAGGCCTTGGTAGTCCAGACAGTGTGAAAATTAATGGATTGTAATTGTAATAATATCCCTATGACTAGACACAGTATGTACAGCATGGTCTTTGAAAGTATAAATGCACAGTAATATTGAATCTGGCTATTTGAGTACAGTATAGTTGTATGCCTAGATATGACATGTGTTGTCTGTAGCAACTGTATGCGCTGATGCTGAACGATATAAACGTTTAGAAATTCTCGGAGACAAATTACGAGTGCTTCAGACACAGTTGTTAATTTACAATTTTACAACTAAAAATTTTTATGACAAAAAAATTCTGTCAATTTACAGACAATGCGCGTATTTTGCTGTATTTTTTTTGCATGACTCATTGGCTGACAAATAAGGATTTTTTTTGTAGAACCGTCTGTAAATCAGTGAAAAGTGTCCCCATCTGTGAAAGTCCCTCCCTGGACCCCCTCTATTTCCAAATCCTAAATCCGCACTGATCTTGTTGTTATCGGGCAAATTGTATCAAATTCAGAGATTTCAAGAGATTTTTGAAATTTCCGTCCCTAGGGGTATGACATTTCTAAAATGCTTGAAAATTCATTCAAGGATCTGCATTTTTACCTTTTACTGTACTTGAGATACATGCATTTCAGGTCGTCTCGCAGTGGCGGATCCAGGAATTCGTAATAGAAGGCCGGGATCACAAATAAAGGGTAAGAAATTGTATGATTAGGGGACCCCTAGATGGCCGAAAATGGCACTGTCGAACATAAACTTTTTATTTTGAAAAATTTAGAGGGGCCTGGGAATGAGTTGGCAGTGTGTACCTACGCATCATTTTGATCTTATCCGACAGCGCTTTTTAAACGTCATAGTGCCTATTTACAGTGTTAGTGCAGCTAGTTGGTATACATGATAACAATTATTAATATTTTAATTACGCTTATTTCAATGCCTAAAATCACGGTGATGTAACCCAGTTCGTCAGATCGTCAGAGATTCGAAACTTACCGGCCTAAAAAAACAGCATAGCTTCACGAAGTGAACATAATTCCATATTTCAGCTTGAGGCAAAATATTGACTTTACTTCGATATTTACTTTGGATTTTTAGCTGTTTTGAACACGTTGCATTGTTTACAGTCACTGAGATTCCCCTGGAGTGACTATGAGGCCATGTAAAGAAAACTAAGTTGTTCATCGTCTCCTCCCTACTTACAAAAAAAATCACCCAACCAATTTTTTTTTTTTGCCAAAACTCACGAAAATATCGTCTTTCCGCCCACAATTCAACTTCGGCTAGGCCAATGTTTTTTTTTTTTTATTTGTTTTTGTGTGTATGTGTGTGTGTGTGTGTATAATTATTTTGTCTTTCACTGTTGTTTGTTCGTACAGGGAGTTGTTAAAGTGATATAAATTCCGCCTTATCAAACACTGGAAGATCGTGAAGTTCAAATGAGGCCTTCCTGTCCATGAGGAATTTGAAAACTGGGCATGTAGGAAGGGGTGGTTTCATTACAGATTAAAAAAATAAATAAATAAATAAAAATAACCTCCCTTCCTACCGACCGATCAACAATTTATTTTACATGGCACAGTTTCAACAACTTTTCAATGTGGTTAGCTGTCCTAATTAATCAGTTTGTGACAGCAAGGCAGACATTATGACCTCTAGACCTTAGAATATATAAATATACACAAGTTGCAGCATAATTAACATATAGTGTCTAATCTCTGCAGAAACTTTGTATTTCAATCTACAGTAATTTTTCAATATGTCAGAAATATATCATTTCTAAAAGAAATGTACAGCAATTAGAAAGGGCCTATAAATTAATCGCCTTACTTCATTTATCCTACCTAAACATATATCCTACCATCCTACCCTTAAAGTCACACATCAAATCCTGCGCTCTTTCTACCCAAATCACCATTAGGCCTAAAATATTACTAACATCGTTCTACTTTTATTTTTATTTTATTAAAATTCGTCTCACAACATAGAATAAACAATAGTAAGCAAGTTGGAGTAAATCAGATGAAAATACACATATACTAGTTCATCTACATACTAATTCAATATAAAGCACTGTGTACACAACGCATCATCTTGTGTTGTGTATTATTTTGATGTATATCTATCATCGTCATCATGCATTAAAATCACTATATATTTTGATGTATTTATTGACGGGAAGATTTTTTTAGTTGGATCTGCTAAAACCATGATATTGTATTTAAATGTTTTCTTTCAAGTGTTTTAGGGTGGATTACTGTATGGTGTTACAAATTCATTATAAACTATTTCTCGGTAGCCACAGATTAAGTTCTGTGCTCGTCTTACCAAAATATCAATTTAATTTTTAAAAATACCAACTTCAACGTCATACCAAGACTATTGGTATTCAGTATGGTACTCAAATCATCGGGCTTTTGGTGTCTGTAGTCTGTAAAAAAAAAAACTGCACTAAAACAACTATATATTTATAGTTTATTTACTTTAAAAGTAGTAGAAAATGTTCAATTAGTTTTGCCAAAACCATAGTCTTTGATGTCTGATAGAATCCCTGTACTGTAATTAAAAACAGACAGAATCCACATCTGGGAGACCCGTTTAAATGTGTTTTCTTAATATCTAAATATTTATTGCTGTGCATGGCGATAACCATTATGATTGACACTAACTGCTGGGAAACAATTGATAATACAGTACTAAATCATGCAAATATCATCATGAATTTATTGGAGATGATATATTTCGCACGATTCTTGCTTGATTGCGTGAGTTCGAGAGTCCTTCCTGCTGATTTTCAGGAAACCCCATTCCAAGACTCTGCAGGAGACTTGGGACTCATGGGGACTAAATTTGGTCTTTAGATTTCTCCATTTAGATGTATATTTAAAAATAATACATTAAATGTTTTAAAATGGATGCAAAGTTACTGCATGCTGTTATTTATTCTTAACACTTCCAACTTGTCTTTCCATTAAAATATTACTAACATTGTCACTAATATTATCTCTTTTTAATAGACACGAAACACCGTACACAATATAGTGCATAGGCTAATATTTAAATTTTGTATACCACAATTTATTTTAGAAAAAATTGCATTATTATCACTACAGGTCTCCCTCCAATTAAAGATTCCCTCCAATTAAAGACCATTTTTCTGCGCTAACATTAGTTGTTCCACCAATTAAAGACGTCTATTTAGAGACCAAAGACCATGGTTTTGGTGAACCCAAATGAAAATGTTCCATCCAATTAAAGAACACTATATAAACTAGTTAGTGATGTTTATTTATTTATTATTTATTTATTATAAATTCGGCATGTTATACAGAATACAAACAGGAAATACAAAAAGATAGGTTAGCGGCATGCCCAGAGAGAAAAATGGGCTGAAGCCCGACACCATGAGTGAATTCTCTCTAAACCACTAACCTGTCAAAGAACAATGAAAAACAAGTATTAAAAAGATTTTTTTTTTACATTTTATACATTTTTTTCAAAAAACAGTACATAATATTCATCTATAGAAGATATTGTAAAGATATGGAAGATAAGCTGCAGTGTTAATGCTATGTTTCAATAATACATTTGTAATAAAGCTTAAAAGATTGTGTTTTTGTGTGTTTTGTGTATACCGTGTAATAATAATGGTAATGGTGAGTTTGTAATATTTTGATGGAAAGTTGCATAAAACAAGTACAGGATTTGATATTTAGATTTCAAAGAAATCCTTTACTAAGAATAAATAACAGTATGCAGTAACTGTACATTCATTCTAAACCAACCGTTTAATTTGTTGTTTCTTAAATCTGCTGAAAATCGAGATAGAAAAGGTTCATTGGTTGACTATTGGATTAACAAGAAAAGAACTGCATCGCAACTAAATTTCCATATACCTCTGGTAGAAATTGCCCAAGTAAAGATGTGATCCTGTCGACCATCTGAACCTTTGATGTCCATGCCTTCTTGAGTCCTCAATCCTGCTCTGCATGATTACCTTTTAAAAGCATCTATCCTGTCGACTGGTTGTGTGCATGAAGTAGCGGAGAGCCAGACAGTTGAGTGTATCAATTAACCTTTTTCAAGACCAATTTCTCGTTTTGCTGTCCGAGATATCCTTTCTTTACTCACCCTACAATTAAACATAGGTTGCAAAGAAGAAAGAAGACCAATTCTTGAACTGGCCGTGTTTTTGTTGCTTTGGTAACCCCTCTGGTCAGTCCAGATTTTTGTTAGTTTGTTCATAGCAGATCTTGCCATTGCCACACGTCACGTCTACCGATCTCCTGTTCACATCCACCGTCCACAATAACAAGTGCTCCAAGGAAGCTGGGTGACTTTTCAACCTCCTTGCCATCTACTATTCAGGGTATTAATATATTTAAACATAAAAGAAATAAATTTAGGTCTAGAGCACAATGAAAAAACCTATAATATTATTAGGTATTGAAAATACTAAACTTTTACCACAAATGTAAATGTTATATCATAAGTAAATGAAACTAATGGAAATTGTGAATATAAAAGAATAATGACAAGCGCTCGTCGTGGATGAGATGGGTAGACGTCAAAAATATAAAAAAAATCGGGATTCAAGAATTCGAAATAGAGTGGGGTCCAGGGAGGGACTTTCACCGAAATATTGGCCAGGGTCCACCCACCTCAGCCGACCCTACCATGGTTGGGGTTGAGGAAAGAATTATAACTATGGCACCTCTAGATGGCAGGAAGTAGCACTCGCAGACTGAAACGGGAATAAAGATAATTCTTGTGAAACCTATATAGAGATGGAATATAAGTTTTGTACATGGAGAGTTATTGACACGCACGATAAGGAAAAAATCTAAAATTACTCAAAAGGCTTATAAGGACGGTTAGAAGGCCTTGCTTGTACTACAAATTAGAAGCAGTCCTAATTGGAAACTGCTCTGATTGGTCAAGTATTTTTGGAGGATGGATTTCTGGAGCATTTGAGAGTGTGTCTTGAATTTTATACGCCGGGAAATGTGGACTTTTTGTAATCTAGTGAGGAGGGGCGATGGATGGGTGCGTACGCACCCGTCGCACTCTTCCCTCCGATCCTGCATACGGGCTTGTACCTTTTCTGGATCCTTGAGCGAGGGAGACCCCGGAACATTTTTTATTTTTAGGGATAATGGATTCATGGAAAAATAATAGGTATATGCAACGTATGTATACCGTTACACACATAATAGGCCTATTTACTGAAATAAGAATGAGAAAATTTACCTGACCATTTTCAAGGGGGAAAGCCTTGAATTTTGAAGAACTTAGAAGCCATTAAAAGCAATTCAGAAGTCGGGAAAGCTTATTTCTCGCCATTTAGAAATCAACATTTTCCCGGGGAGAACCCGAACCTCTCCACCCCTCCTTTCTCTCTGGGTTTTTTAATTCATAGAATTGTTTTCAAGGGGGAAAAACCTTGAATTCAGAAGAAGGCATGAAATGAGACCTCAGAAGTCGGAAAACTCGTTTCCCGCTATCTAAATCAAAAATTTCCCCAGGGGAGAACCCCCAGACTCCCCTTTCTCTTTCGGTTTTATCGATTCATGGAAAACAGAATATGTATGCAACTACTCAATTTGTTTTATGTATGAATACATACACAACAGGCCTGTGTACAGAAATAAGAATGAGAAAGTTTACCTGACCGTTTTCAAGAGGAGAAAACATTTAATTTTGAAGAACTTAAAAGTTATTAAAAGACACCTAGCTTGAAAGTCGGAAAAGCTCATTTTTCGCTATCTAGTAATCCAATTTTTCCTGAGAGGATCCCTGGCTTCTTTGGGGGGCTGTCTCTTATACACATCTAGATGTGTATAAGATTCAAACGGGGCCGCAGAAGTATGGTCTAGGCCCCAAATGAATCTCATGCCTAATGCGTGACTAGATATCAAACCAAATTGCCACACTTTAGTGCTATTGCTATTTTTAGTATATATAATGTTTTCTTCCTGTCTCTTATACACATCTTCGTGCCTCAAAACTGCATTAATGAATTGTAGGTCAAAGATTTCTTTTTATGATTGAACATAGTACCAATAGGGTTAATATAGGCCTAGTTAGTATAACGATGACAATCAACATTTTTTCTTACGCATGGCAGTTAAGAGTAATAATAATATTGCTGTAGACTTTTAGAACGCACAAAGCTGAAAAAAAACTGAAGTTCTTCTTTTATTGAGGTCATAAGTTGAATGATAAATCAGCAGATTTGCAATGAAATAGATTCATAAAGTGTGACAAAAAATTTTAAACCAATCACCTAACAATGATAAATTGAAATATATATTTGCTCAAAAGAGCATGCATATATTTTTAATTGCTTTAAACATGGTTAGAGTTTTTATGTGTTTCATTCCCTAACATAAGCGCGATAGGCAAGATAAAATGACATGAGGTGATTTTGAACTATTTAATTATTCTGTCCATAATATCATCAGTGACAGATTCATTGGAGTGGTAGGGGCGAGCCGGCCCTCCCCTCCTAAAGAGTCAAAATTGTCAAAAAATAGAGAAAAAATCATAAATGTTCTTTTCACAGCCCCAAACCAACAGATTTTTTTTTAAATTTCCGTCTCTAGAGTATGGCCTCACACCTCTTCCCCCTGAAATTTTATTTTCTAAATGCTTGAAAAGGCATTCAGGATCTGCATTTTTCTATTTTACTTGAAAATACATGCATTTCAGGTCGTCTTCCAGTGGCGCATCAAGGAATTTGTAATAGAGAGTGGCTAACAAATAGAAGGTAAGAAATTGTATGATTATGAGACCCCTATGGCTGAAAAGGGTACTGCATATATAAAATTTAGAGGGGCCTGGGCTTGAGCTGACAGTGTGTGTACCGTGCCAGATGCGTCCTTTTGGTCTTATTCGACAGCGATTTTAAAACGACATGGCCTATCTACAGTGTTAGTGCAGCTAGTTGGTGGTATAAGCTTACATGATAACAATTATCTATATTATAATTATTCATATTTCAAAGAGTAAAATCACAGTGATGTAAGTCTAGCGTCGGAGATTCGAAACTTACCGGTCTGAAAAACGGTAATAACAACATAGATCATCAAAGTTTCCATCTCACGCAATGAACATAATTCTATATTTTAGCTTAATTGAGGGGAAAACATCGATTTTAGCTGTTTTGGACACGTTGCATTGTTTACAGTCATTTAGATTCATGTGGATTGACTATAAGACTATAAAAAAAAAAAAGCTGTTGACCGTCCTCTCCCTACTTAAAAAAATGTAATTATTTTGTGTTTTATTTGTTTCTTCGTACAGGGAGTTGTTAAAGTGTATACATTCCACCTGATCAGACACGACACTGAAAGATCGGTAAGTTATTAGGCCTTGCTCACCATGGGGAATTTGAAGACTGGGCATATATGAAGGGGTGGTTTCATATCACTCATGCGTGACCGTTCTACCTGGCGTCCTACGTTCTTTTGCAATACGTAGATTTGGCCAAATTGCGTTCCAGAATCTGTTCGACGAGGTGACCTTAACGTTCTCGCATGCACAGATAACTTTTAGTGATGTCATTACGTTCTACGTCCTACCATCGTCGTGCAATAGAAAGCTCCTTAATTTATCACTTTGTGACAGCATGAAGATATAAAAATAGATATTTTTATACCTCTATGGTTCTAGCAAATTAACATCAGTGGCGGACCGTCAAGGCAAGCAAGGATATGCAGTGCATGTTTGGCCTACTTTGGTATCTAGGATATGAACGTCAGAGCAACGCTTAAATTATGCATAAAAGGGGTCCACTTTAAGAAAAATGGGTCCAGATTTCCCATATTTAGCATAAAATGGGTAAAAGTTTTAAGAAAATGGGTCCAAATTTTTCATATTTTTGCGTAAAATGGGTCAACTTTTAAGAAATTTGGTCCACATTAATTTACGCGTAAAGTGGGTCCACCCCTGATATTTTCTCGCACTGTTTAAACATCTTGGCTACGGCATTGGTTGTGAAATTACGGAAGCCCGTTAGTGCCACCAGTGAATTAAAATTTCAGAGCCACATAATTATCTGGCGCAGCCAATTATATCTGGGGGCCGCCACATAAATATCTGGAGGCCGCCTAATAATTATAATGGTCTTTAATTTGAGGAAAATTTTTCAGTTTGGTCTGCCAAAATCATAGTCTTTGGTCTGTAAATGAAGGGAATCTTTAATTGGAGGGAACTGCTAATTATAAAAGATAGGCATTCAAACGGGGCCGCAGAAGTATGGTCTAGGCCCCAAATGAATCTCATGCCTAATGCGTGACTAGATATCAAACCAAATTGCCACACTTTAGTGCTATTGCTATTTTTAGTATATATAATGTTTTCTTCTCCTCCACATCTTCCTTCATGTGAATTAACTTGCATTTATAGATATGGACGAACAGATTCTAGAGGAAGGCAGTAAGAACAAATATCAGAAATCATGCCGCAGTATCTCCCGGCAGTCGATTTTCAACGTCATCGTTGTTGTTGGACTGTTTTTGTTGTGTTTGTCTGTAATTGTCAAGTTCCAGCAAATCGACTACAAGCTGAAAGGACTTCCGGTAGGAAAAAATTGGTTTATTGTGCTTTCCAGTACCTTGTTTTGTTCTCTTTGATTTCCGTTTTCAATTCCTAGCCAGCTGGCTTTTCTACTTCTATAAGGATGGAGGTGCATGGGTGATGGGATTGCCGAGATTTAACGGGTGCTGGATAGGGTAAATTTTGGCAGTCTTTCGCCAAGTAATTCTCCATTGCTGCAATTCCACCATATAAAATTACATACCGTAAAATTGTTTTGTATAAACATGTTTTTATATAATAAAGGCACTTACAGTCAATGCAATGATGCTTTAGGGATAATAAACAATCAATATGCATTTTCAGAAAGCTTCCTAGCCATAGGCTAGCCAAAGTAATTCAACAGAAGGACGCACACCTCCGCTCTCGAACATAGCGTCTGCATACGGTCCTTTGATCTTTACTGTGGCATCGACAATCCGATACTAGTTGCTAGTACAGCCGTCGTTTATTAGTCTATGCGTGCCATACGTTATATGATGTTAGTTACTACTTTATTAATTTTGGGTACTTCGCAATGTCTGTTACATCTCATTTTTTTGACCGCGAGCTTGTTAAATGGTTCTATAAACTTCAATTTGATTTGTGAAAATTGAAAAGTTATAGCAATTTAAAATACGAATTTTATAAAATTTCATGTTCGTATGTAACATTAAACTCTCATTTTGACAATGTTGGACTAAGGTGCACAAAACGAACATTTGAGTAGATACAGAACATTTATTAATTTTTTCTGCGAAATGTGTTTCATGAACGACAATACACCACAATATCGGTAAAATTAATGTTGAAATGAAGAATATAATTTCAGTCTAATGTTAGTGCAAAATATCATTAGGCCTTTATAATCACCGCACGACGCGCGATTATCATGGCAACTAACACGCACGTGGGTATATCGTCATGTACGCTGACGGTTTATGGTCTGGTTGCTATGTTTTTGTGACGTTCAACGTGTAGGGACGCACTAGCGCCTAGAATGTAGATGCTAAAGTTATAACCTTTGATGTCCAGAGATGTGCGTCCTTCTGTTTAATTGTTTCGGGCTAGTTAAGAATAGATAATTAAAAATAAACTTATTACACCCTGATTTCCAGACGCCAGATCACGAAAAAAAGTCCGAAGCACCGACTACTAGTTGTGACATTCAATGTAAGTTTGACTTGACTTAAGCTCTGATAAACTCGCACACTATTAAGCAATTAGTAGAGCTCTGCATAGTACACTATAGGAAAATTATTGTACGAAGGTTAGATTTAATGCTTGAAAAATTTTCCTGAGGGCCTGCAATGCCGGAATGCATTAAATCTAACCTAAGTATAATAATTTTCCGTTTACTGCACGATGCATGCTCTACTAATTGCTTTATAAGTCAATCACCGTCTTTTAATTTTAGTTTTTTATAACCAACTGTTGTAGCAGTAATCGGTTGCTATAGTGATATGATCAGTATACGTGTGCGTATTTACATTTAGCTGTGCGTATGCTGATTTTTGCTCCTGCAGTACGCGTTGAACTCATCTACACATCAGCAGTACAGTACGGATACGATGAATAAGTATTGTGTTAAAAGCACTTGTTTGTATCGGGTTCTAAAGCTCGTTTTACGAAAGTAATTTTCAATTACAATTCTATTTTTATCGCAGTGCACGATGAATTCGCGGTGACGAAAAAAATGAGGATGCCGACATTCGGGTCTAATATGACATCATGTCCATGGGCACATCACACAAATTTGTTACATTAAACTTAATGGACAAATACATGTGATATGCCCATTTGGGTGTATGGTACATCAATTGGAACATTAATATTACTTCGTTGTAGATTTGAAGAAATATTTGGCAATTTAGCTTTCGTTAGTAGTTTAACTTTCGTTTATCAATTAATAATTGTACTTCAATTGAGGTTCAGCCACCTCAGTTTTATGCCATGAGGCTTCGAGAGTGGAGCGCATCATTTGGAACACATTTCCAATAAACAAATCTCTTTAAGCCATATTCAACGAACGTAGAATTTGCAGAAGCCTTGCACAATTTCGATTTACACTTTACTATTGCCTAATGAAACCTACACAAACAAGTTCTGATGCATTCTCGTCACTTATTCTACGAAATCTTTTCCCAGGTAGGTCTACTTTAACCTTTTCCTATTCTTGCGCAACTACCATCATAACATTTTATTATATCATTATTATTGTTATTCAAAAATTCCGCAACCTATGGGTAGCGATCAAATGTTTGGGTCGCGAAAAAAAAAATGATGGGTCGCATAACCTCTTCAGATCGTGAAAACTTTACTTACCACGAACGAAAACAAATTAAAGTACAGTAAACGAAAGTGCAATTTAAGTGTGACAAGTGCTTCACTTTACTTTTGTTATGCGTACGTACGTTATCACAGTTTCATGTTAAAATATACTAGGCCTATCAAAAAATGTGTACCTCAGGTATGACAACCTTAAAGTATTAGTTTTGTTAATTTCAATGTGTTATGCTTTCAGTTGCAAATTATAATGAGAAAACATTTTAAATTTAATGTGTTTATGTCTCCGCATAACCCATACATTTCTAGCAGCACTAGGAATTTATATTAAAATGTCTGTTAATCATTAAATTTTAAAAGTCTTTAACTTATTTTAAAAAATAACTTAACGTAATTTTGTTAAATGAGTAATTCAGTTATATATTCATTTTTATGGGTTTTACATAGTGATTTTGTGAGTGATAATATATTTTAATCAATTCGCAAAAGAATCAAATGGGTGTTCTTCCAGCTATTCCTCGCACGTATAAAACGAATGGCGTTTTATTGACTTTGAATTCGATTCGATTCGATTCGATTCTTAATAATAATAATAATAATAATAATAATAATAATAATAATAATAATAATAATACTAATACTAATAATAATAATAATAATAATAATAACGACAACGACAACGACAACGACAACGACAACGACAACGACAACGACAACAACAACAACAACAACAACAATAATAATAATAATAATAATAATAATAATAATAATAATAATAATAATAATAAAGATTTATAAAGCGCACATCTCCACCAAAGGTGCTCAAGGCGCATAGACATTTAAACCAACAAGATCCAAATAATTCCCAGAAGAATTTTCAGTAAAATCCAAATACCAATTATCCCATCGAGGCAATGTTGCTCCCCATATAAGTATACGCAGATACCCAAAGGCAGTATGTTGAGCATCAGCACCTTCCACCCCAGGATAAGCCCGGGGCTCCACTACCGTGCACTGCAACAGGAGCTGCATTGCGTCGACAGAGAAAAGTGGTATCATGTGTTTTTTTGTTGTTTTTTTTTTTAATCTTTTTTTTTGTGAGTAATACAAATTCAACAGAGAAACATCAAGGTTGTTTATACGCCTCGGTGAAAAACCAAATTAATTCCAGAAAAATTTCAAGCAGAATCCGCATACCAAATTATCCCATCGAGGCAGTGTTGCTCCCCATGTAAGTATGCGCAGATACTCAAAGGCAGTATGTTGAGCATCAGCACCTTCCACCCCGGGATAAGCCCAGGGCTCCACTAATTCAACAGAGAAGCATCAAGGTTCTCTATACGCCTCGGTGAAGAGATGTAATTTTAAAGTTTAAAGATCTAATGTGTTTGACCGAACAGGGCAAAGCGTTCCAAAGACGTGGAGCAGCAATACTAAAAGCTCGATCCCCGTAAGAGTGATGGGACTTAGGCTAGTGTAAAAATAGTTTGTCACAAGAGCGCAAGTTACGCCCAGGAATATAAAGCCGAATCATGTCGGCAACATAGTCAGGAGCCTAACCATTTAAACATTTAAAAAAACTATTAATAATATCTTAAAAACAATGTGGTGTGATTTCATAGTAGTTGTTATGTGTGAGTACTTAGGTGACTTAGTAACTACACGTGCAGCAGCATTTTGAATGAGTTGAAGCCGTTGGATTTGTTTTTGAGGAAGTCCAAACAAGAGCGAGTTACCCATGTCAAGGCGTGAAGTAACAAACGAGTGAGCAAGTTGCTCAGCAGCTGCATTGTCAATGCTTCTAATGTTACGTAAATAAAATGAAGATGTTGAAATGATATTTGAAATATGCCTACTCATTGTCATATTAGCATCCAAAGTAACACCAAGATTTCTGACCTGCGCTGCAGAGCCTATTAGGGTTTCCACAATAACTAAATTACTCAGTGGAAGTTTTTCCAACTGTTGGCGAGACCCAATAAGTATGTATTCAGTTTTGTAGTCGTTGAATTTTAGAAAATTTTGCTTCATCCAAAGACGTAACTCTTAAATGCAATTTTCGAGTGATTCTAGAGAGAGGTTAAGTTGCGTCATGGACGGCTTAAACGAGAGGTAAATCTGAGTATCGTCAGCATAAACATGGTAGGACAGGTTATACAGTATTTGCAAATTATATCCCGAATAGGTAGGATATAAACTGTGAACCATTGTGGCCCAAGAACAGATCCTTGAGGAAAAGAAAAATTTAAGGAACTTTCCTGGGAGAAAGCGTCCCCAATACATATATGCTGACGTCTGTTGGTCAGATAAGATCGACGCCATTCCAATGCACGACCTTCGACTCCAATGTGCTTACTTAATCTACGGAGCAAAACATTATGGTCAACAGTGTCGAAAGCTGCACTTAAATCTAATAGAACTAAAGCAGTAAGTTTGCCATCGTCCATTGCACGTAGGATGTCGTTGCTAATTCTAAGTAAGGCTGTTTCAGTGCTATGATGTGCTTTGTAAGCAGATTGGAACAAATCAAGTAAAGTATGTTCTTTAACATGGGCCAATAATCGTTTAGACACAACCTTTTCAATTATCTTACCAAGAAAGCTTAAATTAGAAATAGATCTGTAATTTTTGAGAACCTCAGAATCTAGGCTGGGGTTTTTCAAAGTAGGAAAAACATGCGCAACTTTCAAAGCATCAGGAAAAGACCCATTCTCAAGAGATTTATTTACTATATTTGTTATGATAGGAATAAAGGCATCATGACAAGACTTTATCAATGAAGTAGGTACCGGGTCAAGTCGACAAGATTTCAAAGGCGAACTTCTAGCAATGTCACTTATTTCCACCTCATGCAGGATCAAACTCAGAAAGCAATATAGACCTAGATATTTCCTCTGCACCAATCACATTAGAATCACCAGTAGCATCACTCAAATGATTTTGAGCAAAAGAACTACGAATATTTTGGATTTTGTTCTCAAAAACCACAGAGAACTTATGTGCCAGAGCTTGATTTGATACAGAAGAAGGAAGAACCGTAGACTTTGAGCGGTGAAGGAGGTTGTTAACTATGTTAAAGAGCTTTTTCTGATCACCAGAGCAGTCCCTAACAAGGGCAGAATAATACATGGTTTTAGCTTTATCAACCATTTCATTTCCTAAACATCTTTGGTCACAGTACTTCTGCCTGTTAGAATGAGTCTTAGATTTCATCCATTTTCTTTCCAGTTGACGTTTTTCTTGCACAACGAATCTCATCTGTAAACCACGGTTTAGAAGCTTTGGGTTTAATTATTTTCGTATTAAAAGGAGCGTGTTCATCTAAAACTGCTTTCAGTGCAGTAAATCTACCAACAAGCTCTTGTAAATTACAATTATCGGAAACCCGAGCAAGAATATCCATTTTAAAATTCTTAATATTAATCAGGTTTAAATTTCGTTTTTTAATAAAAGTTTTAGGCATAGCAGGTTTTTTAAGGTCAAGTTTTCACATTATCGCAAAATGGTCAGAAAGACCAGGATGTACACGTACATCAGACAGCAATTCAACATCTCGGGTGATGATAAGGTCAAGACAATGCTTTAAAGCTTTAAAATTATTAGCAGCAATATCATTGTCATCATCCATATGGATATTAAAATCTCCACATAAGACAATTTCAGAAGGGTGAATAAGGTGATCAAATATCATCTTTTCAAAGTCATTGGTGAACAGGGAGTACCGGGACCGCCCGTTCCGCCTGGCCCACAGGTTATATTACTATTGTACTTGAATCTTTACCGATTCTTGCACAAACACTGTCATAACTGTGCGGAGTGAGTTGTTGATAGTAAGCTGCATGTCCGGAGGTGAAATGCATTATGAGTAGATTTCCCACACAATTAAA